CCACATGTTGGCCAAAACCCTAAATATTCATTCATACATAATACATAATAATTATTCTAAGCTGATCAGTGAAAGTGTTTTGATTGGGTGTGTGGGGCAAAAGAAAGTCCCTTTGAAGGGGCCATGCTAATGTATGGTAAAACAGAAAATTTGAAAAAGACTAGACATGACTGGTTGCATTAATGTTCCACCCACACTTATTCAGCTAATAATAACATCCACACACATCCACAAGTACGTACGAGGGGGCAGCAGGGACTCTCTTAACTTAGAATCTACTCTGTGTTGTGATGCATCCCCCGTGCCATACACTACACACATCACCTGAGGCTGATTGTGTTTCGAAATGACAGTTGACCCTTTGGTCCTCTTTCAAAAAACCTGAATCAGCATTAGTGGCATCCTCCATCAGTTTCCACACTTCCTCATTTGTCTGTCACGGGTTCAGCGTTTGTGTATGGGTACCTCATAGATCTCAAGTACCCTGACAGTCTACATCATTACTGTGACTGCTCCTTGTCTTAGCAAGGATGAATGTCTCTATCTTTGACACACGCAGCCTTGCAGGGCTCATCTTATCATCTCTGTAGTCTCTCCTCCTTGTAGTAAAGCCAGCTTAAATTAAAATGCAGACTTCTTATAACAAAGTAAACCAGAAGTAAGAAAAAGCTAGTTCCTGAGTGTTTCAGGAGTGGAAGGTAGTTGTCTTGAAGGACATGACAACGACCGAATATGGATGCATTTCCTAGTTCAAATATAAGGTTTTTCAATTTCAGCACATATTGTAAAAAAACAAAAAAAAGGACATTTGTGGCATTTTAATGTGTAGCTCTCTTTAGAGGTTTCATTGCATTTCAGCTATGTTGACTTTGATCAGGACATTTGCTGCTGTGCTTGGGATCATTGGCCTGTTGCAGGAATTGGCTTTATCTGTCAGACAGAGAGCCTCTCAACTGACTCTTTAGTGTACAGTTGATGGTTGGCTGTGTCCCGTAGCTTCAAAGCAAGCTGAAATCATCACCTGCACTAAAAGCCTGTGGGATCTTTATGGTTTGACGCCTTTTAGATTGTCAATACTTCTGGGGTTTTTTCCTGGTCTACGAAGTTTAGCTTTCCCATCTGAAAAGTGATGGATTTTCCAAACTGAGTGCTGTGACTAGTTTTTACTGCTCTTAACCCCAAAGCAAAAAAGAAGAAGGGCTATAAGCACTCATTGTTGAAGACAGATAGAGATCAGTTAAACACACATTTGTGATTGTAATTTCTAATTGTTGTATATATATATAAGTATATCATTTTATAAAATGATTTATTTATGGTTTTAAACATCTTAACGCTGTTATGACGTGCTGAACTGAACACTAGTTTACAGTTTTGAACTTAAGAAGTGTATCTATCTGAGTCATCCCACCACATGTGAAGGAATTGGTTGGAAAACTTACTGCTGCTTGCACCATTGTGCCTGCCAGTTGCTTTGAGGTGTTTGTGCTGAAATGTGTTTGGTTTTCAGTGCATGTTAAGCTGTGCATCGGGACCAGTCATCTCCACTTTGGTCATGTTTTTTTTTTTGGAGTTTGGTAAAATGGAACTTAGCATACCTACGGTGTTCTGCCTGATTTCTTTTAGAGGGAGGAAGCTTTCTCTTGGCAGCCCTTCCAAACAAGTCATACTTGTTCAGTGCTATTTCTAATTGTGCTGTCATGGAATTCAAACATTAAAAATGCTTGTTAAGCCTGAAATGTAACTCTTAAATCACATTGAAGTAACATCATCAATATTGTTTTTTGTTCTTGGAATGTGTTACTGTACACTTAATGCTCCAAGCAGTAGAACCTACATCAAAACTTGTACTTTTCAAAACGAGCTCACCATTTCTTATGAAGCACAACCTTTCTGCTCCGAACCTTTCAGTTCCTCTGAATACAGTATGTGTGTGCTCAGTTCTCCTGCTTACTACATTTTGGCCCCTTTTTTTGTTAAATAAATAACGTACAAGTGTATTATTCCACATATCGTTATTCATCTGAGGTTTTGTACTGTATTTTAAAGACTCTTGAGGACAAGAATATGTTTTTTAAAATGTTCTGTGATATGCTCTGATTTCTCTTTTTCTGTGCAGTTAAGTTAATCCTGCTGCAGTTAACCTCCAAACAGCCAACTTCAAAGTCCCTTTACCCCATTTCTTGTGTCCAAAATAAGGAGGGGAGTTAAAAAAATAACGCTGCATATATTTTTATCCCAACTCTGTTGAGGCCTAGTCTTCTTTCCGTCTCTTTCCTTCTTCCTCATTCTTTTTTTCCACTCAAACTCATTTCTGTGGGTGCTCCATCTCTGCTGTCTCCCTTTGCACTCTTCCCTCCCTTGATGAATAAGGAGCCCACACATATAAAGGAGGGTGGGCAGAGAGAGAAGTTGGACTCTGAGCTTTTTGGTAAAAGGGTCCCCACTTTAACTCCTAAAATACAGCGCAGCATGTAGCGTTGTTGGGGTGTGCAGAATAGTCGCCTGTGTGAAGGGAGGTCCATCCAGAGATGATTAGGGTCATTTTACAGGATACACGCTGTAGTCTGGGCCTGTATCCTAGCAACACCCTATCAGTCCACCTGTTCCATGGGCGTCCACCCAAAAAATCCTGCCAACACACACATGCGTACAAAGATCCTCCTGTCCTTTGTGCATCTTTAGAATTTATATTTTTGTCAATATTAACAAAATTTTATATCGTCACCAATGACTTTTAATTTCTTCCTTTTTTAAATGTTTTGTTTTGTTTTAACAGAAGCAAAGAGGCAGTCCTAGTGATAATGATCAGGATATGGACTTTGGACTGATTGTCAATTTAATATCAAGGGCATTCAATTATTTTATATATTGCAAACAAGTGACATTTTTACTCCAAAAATTAAGTGACTATTCATATATTTCAGTATTTGTGCACGTGTGTTTATGCAAGTTGTGAGGTAGTGTGCCCACTGCTCCCTAGTTTGAAAGTGTGAAGAAGGATGTCAGAGAAAGAAAAAAAAGGAAAAGAATGAGAGCAACCTTGCATTGCATTTCAAAACCAATCAAATAGCTTATTTCTACTCACCTTCATACTTGTGAGCCAATCAGATTGTGTAATCAGAAAACACACTCAATCCCCTTATCTCCGGGTAATTTCATCTTCACATGCATGTGTATAGCAATTAGCAATTTGAAGGGGGTTCTTCATATAAATATATATATATAGTTTGTTTATAGTATAAAAAGTCGACATTCTTATAAGTCGTTAAAAAAAGCACAGTTACATGTAGTATGATCATGGTACACATAATTTCCATGTTGTTCTTGAACTTGTTTTCTCATAAAACGGAGAGAACAAAGAAAAACACAGGACGGAACTTAAAGTGATACCAATCCCTTTTATTACCTGACCTGCTTTATACTGCGTAATTTCCTCCACAATACGAAGCACCTCATCCTGTGAGACCCACCGTGTCTTTTTCAGCAACACACCACGTGGGCACATGCTCCATTTAGAAGTCTGCCCCATCGCCCAGCCTCGGAATGGAACTGGGGAAGAAAAGAGGAGCTGTCTCTGCTGTGTGGTACATGACCGCTGACAGAGGCGGAGAGGGAGACAGAGTGGGCAAGGACAGTCATGATTAATGTGGAGGCAGAGCGAACCCAAGAATATCTCCCCGCTGCCCTCCATCTTAGCTAATGTGACCTGCCATTTGGGTCAACCATTACGATGTGTGTGTCCGTGTATGTGTGATGTGTTATAGTATAGACTGACAGCTTTATTTCTGGCACAGTATGTGTAGAAATGACAGATGTCTCAAATTTGTATCACCTCGTAATGGCT